CATGGCTATGTTGTGGGGCCTCCTTTTTTTTTTTTGGAGAAATTGAAAATTTTATATAATAATTTAGTATAATTTACATTAAATACATGGACCATAAAAAAAAAAAAAAAAAAACAAAATATTACTAGGCTGATGTACCCAATATGAAGGACATTACCCTTGAAGATATGAACGAGCCACTTAGTCCACAACCTGATTTCTTTCCCCAGAAACAAAAGAGAACAAAAATTCAGGATAAGGATTACAAAGTCGTCTAATACTCTTAATAATAGACTTAACCTCCCATGAAAGAGTTTTGTTAGGTTGTTGAAGACTTGAAATTAATTCTTGATTATTAGACTCAAATACCACATAGTGAACTCCCATGTCTCCCACAAATTGAGCAGCCTTAAGCAAATCAATTGTCTTAGCCATAAGCGGAGAAATAGCCATACAAAACCAAGTCTTTCCAAAACAAACTTCACCATTAAAGTTGTGTCCAACCATAGCCACAGCAGTAGAGCCCAAGTTAGGCATAAATGAAGCGTCCACATTGACTTTAAGGACACCTGGTGGAGGACTAGACCAAGAAGATTGAATCTGTTTGCCACTTGCCAACAACCTAGAAGGGGAAACCAACAAATCCTTACTCATGGATATAGAGTACTCTTGGATCATAAAACTGATACGAGTAAGAACTTGGTGGGGATGAATTTCAATATTTCAAAACATTTTTCATTTCTTGCCTTCCACACGTGCCAACAAATAATCACACAATATTCCACCAAAAAAGGTATGCCTATTTGTTTATCAAAATCATTGATATATCTCCACCGTTCAACTAAACTATTTTATGACTGAACTCAAAATTGCCATGGTCAAGAATTTTATCACAAAATGATGACTGCTCATTGAACTTGTGCCTATTGTTTTAAGGCGAAACTTTATGTTAAGCCCCAAACTTATCTCAAAATTTTGATTAAGCTTCTAAGTTTTATTGAAGCAAATAAATATATGAACTTGGTGATTTTAATCATTTAATTATTTTTCTTTATGATAGACCACTACTAAAATTCAAGCCTTTAGCAACATGCTTTCATGTTGTTAAAAGTGCCTCCCATGTTGCTGAAAGTCCTTCAGCAACATGATTTTTGTTGGTAAAAGTTTTGTTGGAGAAGTCTTGCTGGCTGATACATCACCAACAAGCAAATTGTTGCTAATACATCAACAACATAATGCACGTTGCTGAAAATATAGTTTTAGCAACGTGCTCCATATTGGTGAAATTTTTCACCGGAATCCGACAAGAGGCATCGGTAAGTGGTAAAGAGTTTTTAGCAACTTAAGGCACGTTGCTGAAAATATGCTTTCAGCAACGTGGCTTATGTTGCTAAAAATTAATGGTAAACCGGTGGCCGGACGATGGAGATAAATTTAACCCCATTTTCAGCAACATAGGCCATGTTGTTAAAAGCATATTTTCAGCAACATGGCTTATGTTGCTAAAAGTTAAGGGGAGTGCATGTACCCCACTTTTCAGCAACAAAAACTATGTTGCTGATAGTGCATTATCAACAACATAGTCCTTGTTGCTGATAGTGAGGTGAATAATACATTAATTTTATAGTATTATTATTACATTAATTAAATTTGAAATTCACTTTTTTTTTATAATTACCAAATATTAAATTTTTTGATATCTCACATATAATAT